ATATGTATAAGTGTGTATATGTATATGTGTGTGTATATATACATATGTATAAGTGTGTATATATATGTATATGTGTGTGTATATATACAGTATATACATATACATATACAGTATATGCTATTTGAGTCAGTATCGGCCTAGATTGAAGATATTTCAGGCATCTAACCAAAAACCTATTCAAGTGGAAACGTTGGTTTAAAGACAAGGACTCCAGAAGTACAAAAATGGGACAGGTCACCAGCTGCCAAATACGTTCACATTCATGAGCAAAGATGAAATTATCAGTGGAAAACAGCTGCTGAGCATACCACACTTGCCAGGTGAATGGACCTGTTGACGTCAGTCGCTTGTTAAGTTTTTATTCTGTCTGTCCTTCAGTCTGAAGCCGCTGGACATCGAGTTCATGAAGAGACTCCATGACAAAGTCAACGTCATCCCTCTTATTGCAAAAGCTGACACTCTAACCCCAGAGGAGTGCCAGCTTTTTAAAAAACAGGTATTTGTGTGTGTGCGTGTGTCACATTAGTAGTATTAGAAGTGCTGCTGCTACAGGCCAACTAATGTACACAGGTGCGTAACAATGTTGCATATTTGTATCTTATTTAGTTACTGCAAGCAGCATACAAGTAAAGCACCAGTAGACATTTTGGGAAGTGTGCTTACTTCTGAGAGATGAGAAATACGAAGCAATAGCTAGGAGGCAATTAGCCTAGCTTAAACATCTCCAGTTGATAACTCTTTCTCAATCACAATGGGTTGATTTATTGTTTCCGTTTGAGTAGCAGTGAGATACAACATGTTAATTAGAGTTGTTTGTATGCATATTTTTGAACTTTGGACAGAGCTAGGCTTATGCTAAGCTAGGCTAATCACCTCCTGGCTCTATGCACCATACTTCATGCATAGACATGACAATGGTGTGACTCTAACTCCCAGAAAAACATTAAAGATTGTAAACCTTCAGGAAAAATTCAAATCCCTTCTGATCTGTATCCAGGCCTGTATTCTGTACGTGTTGCCTTTATTCTGATGTCTCTCTCCTTTCGTCAGATAATGAAAGAGATACAGGAGCACAAAATCAAAATTTATGAATTCCCAGACACGGAGGACGACGAGGACAACAAGCTCATCCGAAAAATTAAGGTAATGGACACAATTTTGTTCATAATTTTAAAACAAATTTAATCTCTCAAAATCTCCTTTGTAGAGGAGCTCATTGAGCACTTTTACTACAATGAAAAAAAAAAGACATTTACTTGAAAAAAGCTTGGTAACAATTTGCACTCAGAAATTCCGAGTAATTTTTACTCAGGAATTCTCAAGTTAAGTTTACTTACTAGTATGAATTGTTTTTTTATCCAAAATTTTTAAGTAACTTACTTGCAAATGTCTTCCTTAGACATAAAATGTACTTAGCCTTTGATAGTAATCTTTACTCAGGCTACCTTTGCATCTAATTACAAGACCCCAGTAAAACTCAATTAGGTGTTTCATGTATATTTAACTAGCTTTTCTTTACTTTTTCAATTGAGAAATATTAAGTAATATTTACACTCTTATCTACTACTACTCTACACAACTGTTCAAATATGAATGTTGTATTTTTTTTAAACTGGGCTACTGTTAATTTAATAAAATTTTCTTAACATAGGGCTTCTACAAAACATCTTTTAAACTACAGCAGCTTTACTTGTTAACTGGTGAAAGAGGTCACTGCTGACAGACACACACAATTACCAACATATATAATCTGGTTGGCATTGCCAGACAAAACATTTCTAAATCAGTGCTGCCAATAAGAAATTTAAGAACACAAACGTTTAGTCATTTAACAAACACTTTTAATTTGAAACGATGGGTATTGCTTGACAACACTTTGATATAGCCCATGAGCAGAAGGCAAGCCTTCTGACACTTTGACAGTCATCAAGAACCTCTTTTCCCTCTGACGACGAACACGATTGTCAGGAGTGAAGCCTTTCTGTGTTGCATTTCCATGGATGACAAGGATCTTCATGACATGTTGAGCATAGTCCTCTTCAATGACTTCTTTGAAATTCAAATTTACTAATGTTCACTTTTACATCTTCGAGTCTGATGTGTTCTCAAAAAATGACGATAGTGGGGGAAACAAACAAATATTGAATGTGTTCAAATGCGTCATTATGTATCTATTCTCAGTGTATATGAGCCCAACATAGTTTTATATAATATTAGATATCTAAACTTTACCAGGCTGGGTGATTCCTGCAACTCCGCCCTTTGTCCCAAGTATCTCCAGAAAGTTGGTAGTGCAATTCTCCAATTTCGACAAAAAGTTTCACTCTAGATGAACTGTGGTTGTTCTTCTGAACTCCTCATTGATCTGAAACAAAAGACAATAAAAAAAAAAAACATGATCGAGATGAGGTACCTTGCTAAAACAATTAATGCAGTAGTCCTCCCAGTATAATGTACTATTGACAGCAACACAAACTATGACTTCAAATGTATATGTCAAGTTAATTAAACTATAACAGTACTAAGTTGATTTTACCTTGTGTCAACTGTTGATGTCAACTTGCTGAGAGTGAACGTCCTTTAATATTCTGTGAAATATATAAAGAAATTATGTTAAAACATGAACACACAACATTCAATCTGAATTTGGCTTAAATCTTCATATTGATAGCATGTTTTATCCCCACACAAAAAAAAAAAAAAGCACATAAACAAGCCAACATAACGTTAATACTGAGATACACAGCAGGCCTGGTCATGTTGATATGCTACACTAACTCAACACAGTACTGGCACCTTGTTTCATGCCCAAAGCCTTAATCATCAAGGACACCGCACTGGATAGAGACATAAGAGACCAGTTTAAAACTAATGACAGAAATATAAGTCACTGTAAAAATATGTCAGAATATGATAGTGACAAAACAATGTTAAGTGTATTAGACTCGCTCTAAAGTCACTAATTCCACCACGTATGGGATATTTTTTAGCACATGACCAGTGTGCTTGTTGCTGCTTAGCTAAGATTCCCTGTCTTGTCACATTTTCCTCATTCGACCTCGGCTGCACTTGAGGATGTCCGAGAGAAAGCAGGCTGTGCGTGTGTCGCAGCAAAGCACCTGTGTGGCAGAAGTGGGCTTCACAAAACCGAAGTAATTCCCCCTCCCCCTCGTCGACGGAGCGCAGCTGGTCGAGCACCGTGTCCCCAGGCCAACAACTTTTCAAGGGAGAACCCTGTAAAATCGTGACCAAAACCACCAAAAACATGTCCACAAAATGTTGTGCCGTGAGCCATGTCTGTAATGCTGTCCCAAGTTAGCTAGCATGATAGCCTAACTAGCTAGCACGCTAAACTGACCAGTTCGCTACTCTTCAGTGTTCACAACTCAAACACAGACTTGACCGAAGGCTCAACAGCAACGTAGAGCATTAATTAAACATATAACCTACCCCAATGGCTCCCGTCCATGAAGTTCCTCTCCTCAGGTGAAACGCTGCCGTTCAGGTTCTGCTGTTCCGTCGTCTCGTTGAAGAAAGGAGCGCGAAATCTCCTCTGACGTCACCCCCTGAGTACGCGCTATAGGTTGCCAGGTTTTACTCGTATTACCCAAGTACATTTTACTTTGTTGTGTCAGGTAGTGCATTCAATACAGTAGTTTAGTAGATATTACTTAGTGTGAATGATTGAAATGTACTTATAAAAATGAGGATACATAATTACAAACAAACACCAAGTAACACATTAAATAAAAGGTGATATTTTAAAGTAAAAGCACTGGAATGATAATTTCTTGTAAAATTTACAAAAATAATCTAGGTAATAATTACAGGGCCAAAAGTATTTTTTTTCAGTGTAGTGATTGTCATCCATGTAACTCTGCCCCAGCAACCGCTGCCTCTAGTAAAAGCAAGCGTAGTGCTACATGTTGGAACATTCTTTACCTGCATCATGTCAGTCAACATGATTGAAGGTCCTGTCACGGCAGCATTTAAAGGACCAGTGTTCAGGATTAAGTTGGATCTATTGGCAGCAATACAATATAATATTAACTGTTTTCATTAGTGTATAATCACCACAAACTAAGATTTTTTTTTTTTGGTTTCGTTAGCAAAGAATGATCCCTTCATATTTACATAGGTAGGAGGTCCTCTTCACGGAGTCCGCCATGTTGCACCACCTCGTTTCTACAGTAGCCCAGAACGGTCAAACCAAACACCAGCTCTGGAGAGAGCCTTTAGCAATTTTTTGTTACCTGACGGGCACCGTAGGTCTATACGCACTTGGAAAGGGAGGGGTGAGCAGTGGGGTATTTAGTTAGTTGCAACTTGCCACTAGATGGCACTATTTTCTACACACTTCTCCTTTAAAACAGGAAGACGTCACATTGTAGTCAGTAATGAGTTCATTCCAATTGAGCATCTGCAGTGGAATACACCTGCATTTTTCATTTTGAATTCATCCTATGTAAATTTTGACAGAACAAAACGAAGTCCAAAAGTCAACGCAACATTGCACCATCCAGTTCTTTTAGACCCCTGCTCTATAAGAGTATAAACTGCTCCTCAATTTTTCATTAGCAACAGAGCGAAGAGCGAACTATCATGCTAACTTTTTTTTGTGCTAACAGTTAACAAGCTAGCTAGCTTCGAGTACTTTTTTCCCCATGTCAATGAGTATTGAATGAAGTGATAAACAACCCTGAGAACAAATTCATAATTGCTAGCATGTTTCTGGCTTGCTAGTGTGTTAGCGGTTAGCATGCCAGCTAAAGTAATTAATTTATAACTTTGTATGTAGTCCCTACATTACCAAGCATCTAGCACCAACTTTGATGACAGGACACTTGGATACATTTTGCTCTGCCACTTTTTGGCGTGTTAAAAATATTTAAATCTCTTTAAATCAGTTCTCTCACCCTAAATACTTTCAGTCCACTGCACTTGGACTAGATGGGAATTTGAATGTATAATTAGTAATTATTAATTACTAATAAACATGTCAGCAGACATAAGTATCCCAACCTAAAGATTTGTGAAATCAACCCATACTAAGTCAGTGGTCAGTTGCCACAGAAGGGGACCAATCAAACTAAGAACGAAGGAGTCTATCAAACAGCTGGTTCTTCACAGTAAAATAAAGTTGTTCATCTCTTCACTCCAGGAGAAGATGCCACTGGCAGTGGTCGGCAGCAACGTGGTGATCGAGGTGAATGGCAAGAAGGTCAGGGGTCGCCAGTACCCGTGGGGCGTGGCGGAAGGTAGGTTCACTTGGGTCCACTGCCAGAAAAGAAGTTGGCACACTTTGAAAGTTCACATGTGGGTTTTGTCAGTTTTCAAGAAAGACATTTGATTCACAGTTTTTCATTGCACCACGGTCAGACAATGACAGCTTGTGAGAGACGGGCTGATGCATGAGACGGGCTGATGCATGTGGGCGATTGAAGGTTGAAATGTTTGAAAATGTCCAGCAGGCATAGTGTCCTCTATCATGACGAATGACGCATGGTATTCCTGAGAGTGTGGGATACAAGGCATGTTTTCCACAGTGAATGAGTCCATGAACGAATGCAACCTCCTTAAGTAGGAAATAAGTGCCACATAGCACATTGTAAAACACCTGCTGGAGCTTTATCGGATTAGTCTAGAAATAGATATTGACTTTTGTATGATTTTTGTCATTTCATATTGTTGGATTTGAAAGTAAAAACAAAGGTTGATAGACACATTTAAACCATCACATTAATAAGGGAATGCCAGGCCAGATAAGTCTCAGTTAGGGCTCATTTTATGCCTCCCAAAATGAATATGAATGCAATATGATAGAACTTATTGTCTGTCCCACTCTTGTGTCATCTCGCCTTGGGAAAATTTCTTCAAATTTGGCTCAAATGTCTATTTGAACTCAGGGAAGTGAACTCACGTCTGACTAATTATTGTGGATGTGATATGTCAGGAACACCTTGACGGAATTTCTTCAAATTCAAAATTGTCAGGCTTTTGAGTCTCAGTGGGCGGCACCACAATGTTTTTTTTGAGGATCCTGGTGGCTTGTGGTTTCCCAAGTTTTTGAGTCGGTATGGGTGAATAGAGGGTTAGCAGTTGGGACATTGGGATTAGCTAAATAATTGAATTTTGCATTTAGAATATTTGATTACATATGAGTAGACAAGGTCAAGAAAGAACTTCCACATTTAATGAGAGGGTTTACTACTTTTTCTGTGTCGATTGGGAAAAACATGAGAGCAACATGTTCCTAAAGAAATTGTTAGTCTGACAAGTTAGAAATTACCTGGCAGGATGCTGATAAATTGTTACCTTATACACCCACCCCTCAACACAAACAAACTCATGTGCACACAGTCCTTTTGGTAGCATTGGTGTTGACCCTGATTGGGACTCTGGGGAACAAAAGGAGGATAGGCATAGTGTATTATGGGATATGTTGTTCCACTATGGCAGTAAGCACTGACCAGTGTCACCACAAGTCACAGTGAACTGCTGTTGCTCCTACTGGTGTGTTAGTTTTCCTTTGTTGTAAAGTCCTGTGAAAGATGATTATATTGTACATATCTTTGTAAAGTATTTTACCTTTGTTTGTTATGTGGTTGACCGTTTATCAGTCTTTCACTTTTTTCATTCCTTCTTTTCTCTTTTTTTCTTTGTCTGTTCTTTTGCATGACTGACAGAGGGCATTTTTGGTAAACCAAACCATCTTTCACTTTAGTTCATCCTCATTTTCTCCCCTACTCTATCTTCCTCAAGAGTGTCCCCCAAACTCTCCATCCTTCCTTTCCCTCCACTTTTCTGTTGCTGTGCTGTCTCATCATTAGGCTGATGGTCAAACCAATGCTCTGATCAGACTTGGGCTGAATACTTCTCTGAAGTGCTGAAATACACCATATTTTGGAAAACATTTGAAAACAAAGAAGAAAATGGACTTGTTAAAATGTGAACGTATTATATCTTGAAAATACAAAAGAACATAGACACTGAAATCATTCATGTGTTCTCAGTAAAACATTGCTCTTTGCTGACACTTTACACCATGCTAAATGAGCCTCTACAGAGACCTCCCTTTTATAAAAAGACTATAGGGGCAATTATTAATATGGTATATCATTTAGATATTTTGAATATTGATTTTGGTAACTCGGTGTAGCTGGTTTTATGGGGTTTATTCTGGAATAGGATACCACATGTGAGTCTGGTATGGTATTGTCCCAATGGCCTGGGACACTACCATACCACACCAACAAATATTTTAACAAATAATTCAAGGAAGCAGACAAAAGTCCATTCACACAACAGCAGCGTACATCTCTTATGCTACAGCCGACGTCATCAAAAATGTTGCATATTTCGCGTTGGCAACGGAAATGCCATTTTTCCCCAGCCATCCAGATGAGTTAGCGAGCTTTAAACATTGAGTTAAAAACTGTTACCGTCATCAGAAGGTCTGTTGCATGTTCGGTTGTCAGAATCAATATTCCAACAGCAGACTCGAGTTCTATAGCATCGCGACGTTTCAGAACAACAGGTGTATCAGTTTAACGAGTGACCGTGTTAACTGATGACGCTCGTAGTAACTGAAGTAAATGGTTGGTAGGTAATAAACATATATAAACATCGAACAAAAAGTTCGGAAGTTAGTGTTTGGTAGATTATTTCTCTGGTGTAACAATGCTTCTTGGCAATAAATGTTATACCGTTGGAAAGCCTGTTTATTTACCTTTCAAACGGTGCCCCATTTGTAAGGAACATGCATTTGTGGGATGAGCAGCACAGCTGAGTATGTGGGTTGCGCCCATGAAAAATTTGCCAGATCTTCTCTGCCAATGCCAAACAGCTTATTTGCTTATTTGCTATTGACTCTTGTTTGGTGGATTGGATGATTGAAGTCTATCAGTAACAAGGAAGAAACAAGACATATTGGCAATTTTACAATTTATTCATTTCACAAACAGGAGCCTCAGTAGCATGTGGAAGAACCATACACAGCCACAACAGCCTGGCACCTCTCCTCATGCTGGTCACCAGCCTGCTCACACACTTCTGTGGGATGGCATTCCACTCCTCAAGCAGGATTTGTCGCAAGTCAGCCAACGTGGTTGTGTTGGTCACCCTAGCACGAACAGCACGCCCAAGCTGATCCCACAAGTGTTCAATTGGGTTGAGGTCAGGACTGTTGCCAGGCCATTCCATCCTCTCTACTCCCAAATTCTGGAGGTAGTCTCTGATAAACCCCGCTCTGTGGGGGCGAGCCTTGTCATCTTGGAGGATGGAGTTCGGTCCCAGACTGTGGAGAAATGGGATTGCCACTGGTTGCAGAATCTCATCTCGATATCTCTCTGTATTGAGATTGCCTCCAATGAAGACAAGCCTCATTTTTCCAGTGATGGAGATGCCGCCCCACACCATCACACTGCCTCCACCAAAAGGTGTTACTCTATCGGTGCAGCAATCAGCATAGTGTTCTCCCCGTCTTCTCCACACTTTGACCCTACGATCCAACTTCCTTAGGCAGAATCTGGACTCATCGCTGAACATAACGTTCCTCCACATGTTCAGGTTCCAGTGCAGGTGTTGCCGACACCAGCGCAAACGGGCCTGACGGTCAATAGCAACAGCAGAATAAGCTGTTTGGCATTGGCAGAGAAGATTTGGCAAATATTTCATGGGCGCAACCCACATACTCAGCTGTGCTGCTCATCCCACAAATGCATGTTCCTTACAAATGGGGCACCGTTTAAAAGGTAAATAAACAGGCTTTCCAACAGTATAACATTTATTGCCAAGAAGCATTGTTACAACAGAGAAATAATCTACCAAACACTAATTTCCGAACTTTTTGTTCGATGTTTATTTCAAATTGATTGAAGTCTTTTATAAGGACACCTACGTGTTCTGTTGGTGTTTTCAACAGCTGTCGTCACTATGAGCAACCAAGACTCATTCGGCCGAGAGTCGCCAGTTAACATGGTCACCGGTTGCAAGCTATTAACCGTGTTGACTGGCACTGGACTGTTTGTAGCATCCGTTTTAAAAGTGAATAAAGTCAAACCTCTGAGTCTTTGTCCTGGTGTTTGACGTTCTCTACATGAACACAGATAACAGAGTTGGATCATCTAGAGACTTGTAGCGCATAATGTCTCTCTGGTGTAACGTCACACGCTAGCTTTCTCCACCAAATACATTAAACATTTCCACTAAATACTGGGCTATAGCTAATGTATTCTACCCACTCACTGATACACACAGATCTGGAAAGTCACTTTGTTTGGGTTGCATTCACTATCTTTGCTGGTTAATGTTCGTACAAAAGTTGACAAGCTATCGCACTCCGCCGTACTTCCGTTGCCAAACTGCGTGCGCACACCTACGTACGTCATCATTGTTTCTAAACGGGTTCATAGCTTGGCGGTTCAATGCACTACTATTTCATCCTTATACCATTTTGTGTTCATTTTAGAGCCTTACCAACATTTGTGTATGGTTGGTATTATTACATTATTTTAGTTCATAACAGTTACATTGGTAATGGAATGGTATGGTAGCAGATAAGTAATAGAAATTTGTACATTCTGGAATGATAAAATGTCTCTCAATACACATCTTGGTTGTTTATGGGATCTGTCTCAAAAATGTTGTTAATGTTAAAAGGTAAATATCTATGGATATGTGGTGATTGATTGGTTGATCAGTGGCAACCTCCAAAAAATGTAATATTGTAACTCAACTGTAAGACATTGTCCCCCCACCACCACCACCAAAGACGAACCAGGCTACACCAGAGCAACACACACTACATAAACCAACTCGCATCATCTCATTCCATAGGTGATTTCTTAATGTATTCCTCATGCCAAAGGAATATTTAAACAGTCTGCTCTTCCTATTGTCAGTTACTGAATTCTACATATTGCTTCGGGGCCTGTAATCTACCAGAGGGACACATGAATGATTCTGTTTCTTGTCTTTGTTTTTGAGCACTTAATTTGATAGTCAACCCATAAACTCACTATGTTTCAAAGGATAATTCCAGTCTATTACAACTATGGTCTTGTGTTGATAGCTTTGTCTATTATCTATCAGTTACTCACCACAGTGATTACCGAGATGTTTGAACAGAGTGGCATCACTACAACAAAGTCCGGCAGGGCGAGAAACACAAGCAGTCAGACTATCAACCAGATTATCTAAACCAGTGTTTTGCAAACTTTAAATAAATGACAAACCATCACGACCCAATTCACAACAGGCTGTATCTATATATACAAAACGTTGCTAATAAACCCTCATTGTATAGGAAAACTACAGCAAGTACAGAGGGTCATACAGTTTGGTTAACAATTTTACCATTTGTCTTTATTTTCTCTTTAAATGATGTTAGGCGAACCCGGTCTGACTGCTCGTGTTCCTTGCTCCATCAGACTTCTTTTTAATGTGTTCCCAGATCTATGCTATTAACTTAAGGAGTATAATGTTTTTATTACTTGTAAGGATAATGGCCCAAATCACAAAGAACAAGACCAAGGTTGTAGTAGACGGGAATTATCCTGCAAGGTGCATTTAAAGAGGCGTACTTGACACATATTTCAAAATCCATCTGGTGTTCTCAGCAGGTTTAAAAGCCTCTACATACTCACCTGTCCTCCCAGGTCTGATGCTGTGAATAGTCATGGAGAAAACTAGAGGCTGTTTTTTTGTGCTGAAGCTGCAATAGAAACATTGCTCTAACGCTGTGGTTCCCTTCTTTGCTCCTGTGGTCTCATTTCAGTCCCGCTTCACCACGCGCTTCAACGCGCTGTGTTGTGCCAGAGTCGAATTCGTTGTGTTGGTGCAGGGGTGAAAACGGTGTACAGGCCTTACTGTATCACTGGACCAAAGACCGGGATCCGCCATCTTAACGCATCTCTTATAGATTCATTACAGATTCATGAGCAGTTAATGCTGAGTTAGGGTTTTCCTAAAGGGCATGTAGCAGCTCATTTATCTCATCAAGGTAACACGTGGTTTGGAATCATGACTCGTTAGCATTTTTGGAATTGTATGACTTTTAACATAGAAACATGTGGTTGAAACAGTTGTGTGCTCTTGATTCATTTATTTAACCAATGCAGTTCATCATCATGGCCTAAATACACACTGCTAGTAGGTAAAGCACCCAGGCTCAAAACACCTGATGGACTCCGATCATTTTCCAATAAAGTTCATGATTGACAAATAAAAAGCTGAAATGTTTTGACTTGGAGAATGCATCAGGTGTTTTCTGCCATTCATCAACAATTAAGATCTGTATGAGATTAGTTACAACTTTTTTTTTTTCCTATGACCCTTGACCTTCACTTATTCCCTCATTGAGACTTGCACCCCCAGCTGTTCATGCCTAGATCCCCCATATAACACCTCTCCAACCACCACACTCCCTCTAAAAGCCCCTTCAGTCACGAAGCCTCTTTAGTCAGTCAGCTTGGACACATGCAGGTTATGGTGTTGATCCGGGCCAAACACGGACCGGTTCTGGGCTCAAACTGGGCCAGGTCTGACCCAGCTGCTCCAGACCCAGATTTATCCCCCCCCCCCCCAGCTGGGCGCAAAAAGTAACTGAAAACCCGTACCCCTCCCCCTCCGTCAGAGCTCCCTCCTCTAGAAGAGACTGAAGGTCAATGGCTGGCTTGGGAGGAAAAGGGGCGGGACTGCTTAAGTTTCATCAATGGTAAGGTGTGCTCCTTATTCGCTCCCCTGATGACGATTGACTGCCAGCGGGGTGGAGGCTAACCAATAAGGAGCAGCGTATTTGACGAAGAGGAGGCGGGAGATCCACCATGTACATCCTCAGCAGCAGTTTATTAGTGGTCCCTTTCCAGAATGCCATCTGACCGTGTACCCATGTCTTTGTTTTTAAGATGAAAACTCACAATCACCTAAACGTACCGGACAACTTTTCTGTTGTCTGACCAAGAACTCTTGTTCGTTCTAACTTTGTGGCATCTAACAGTGAAAGGCTGTGATCAGATAGGAGGCTTTATGTTTCTGGCTTGTCCTTCCGGTTCATTCTTATGAACTTGATATCACAATAACGCCTGAAGTGAATTTCTTCAAATTTGGCACAAACGTCCACTTGGACTCAAGGATGGACTGATCATAACTGTGGCATTCAAAGATCACTGTGACCTCACCAGAGGAAATTTTTGGCTATAACTCAAGCATCCAAATACAAATTATGAGAATTTCAAATAAGTGTCTGATAGGATAAAATGATGAAGTGAGGACATTTTGGACAGACATAGACAGTAACTGTAACATGACTGGTTGGCGGATGTATACAGCGTCCAATCACATAGCTAATGAACAATAAGGGGGCGTGTCGGCTGTTAAAAGACTTCCTGGAAGTCTGTTCTCGTGGTTCCGAGGTCCCTCCTCGATCCTCGCTCCTCCGAGCTACATTAGAGCTTTGGGACGGCCGTCAATATGGCGTCGCAGAAACAACTTCCGGTTCAAGCGAGGATCGAGGAGTGAGGAAACAACAATTAAGAGACTTGAGAAGTACCTATAGATCGACCAAGGCAACTTGTTTTGTTTGCGGTTCGCAACCTCTACTTCTTCTTCTACTCTGTTTGCTGGTGGAGGCGTGGCGTGGCGTAGCGTAGCCCATACTGCCAACTTTGGATGAAACTATTCAGCCTAGAGTAGTTTATTAGCTCCGAAACAGTTAATGGAAACGCGCCTGTTTATTTTTGGCAACATTTCAAAAGTTTGCATTGAATGGAACACGGCTAGTGTTGGGCTTAAGAGCTACAAGCTGTAATCACAAGTGGCCAAAGCACTTTTAATTGTGCTTTGAGCTGCGTTAGTGCACAGTTCAAACATGCTTCATGTATAGTAGTAGAGCATGGGCCTCTGCAGATGTATTCACTCCAACAGCCACCACAGAATGATACTTAGCTGGTGCACTGTGGCCTTTTAAAGTTTTGTTTTAGGGCAAAAAGCCGATGAAAAACAGAATGTAAGGCATATGCTGATATAGAAAAACCGTCCTATGTGATCATGGCCTGATGTCCCTCTGCCCTTTGTGCTCTGTTAATGTGCTACTACAACCCATGTGGTACAATGCCTCCTTATACTGTCGCTTATCTCAATATTCCCTTACCTTTATAACCTATGAATGAATGGAATGAACTTCACATCCTCTGATGTGTGTTTGTACCACGAGGTCTCCACCGAGATTAATAACAATAATAATCTATTTCTCTATATTACCACTATGCTGTATATGCATTATCTTGTCAATAACACAGATGTGTTGATGTTAATCACCAAAAAATGTTTCTGCTGGGAAGTTTCTCTCAATGTGAACACATAGCCAGAGATACACCCCATTTACCCAGAGTTCTTTGCAGTTATTTAGCATCTGTGAAACAGGCTATATCAGTTTCCCTTGAGACCAGATGTTGATTTTTCATATTTCGTATTGTTATTCTGATCTCTGTGTGTCTCTCCCTGTGTGTTTCAGTGGAGAACGGGGAACACTGTGACTTCACGGTGCTGCGCAACATGCTAATCAGGTAAAACAGCCGTGCATTTCTTCTCCAAACTTAATCTCATGAATGCAACTTGATGTCTTACCCAGAGAGTCCACTAGAGGCTGACCTAGTTCTTCTCATGCCCACATTAGTTCACTGTTGTCTCAGATGCTAATGTAGCAATAGTCAAAGTTTATTAATGTATGTGCTAATTATTTGCAGCACTAGCTTGTTCTCTTATAGAGTGCTGCAGAGATGATGCAAAAGGCAATGGGATTCTTTCATTGTATTCTGGATTATTGCAGAAAATACGCTCTGTGGCAAACAAATGTTTATGATACTGAAGTTTTGTTCAGAAAGATAATCTTCACAAGTGAACACCACTTTTATGATTTTTGAAGTGTAAATAAAATTGTGAAAAGTGAAAAGCTAACATTAGGTTACAACCAAACTACACCACGGTCACATGACTGCACGTCACCACCACTAAGCTAAAGGAGGACTAGAGTTCTAGTGAGGCCGTTTAGTCGTCTCATTTAGACACCTTTTTAAGACGTAAAAGCTTCTAAATTCACCGGAGGGGTGTTTGCTGACGTATTTTATATTATAAAAACAAAACTGTAAAATCTCTTCAGCTTGTGTTAAACACAGACCTTTTTTCAGGCATCTAACCAAAAACACGTTAAAAAAAACACTGACTTTGAGACAAGGAAATGGAAAGTGCAAAATGCTGACTCATTTCCTTGTTTTAGGACTCATTCCTGCAGCAATCTATACATGAGCTGTACCTTCCTTCTGGGGTTCTCTCTCCTATTCTGCTCCTCTTCCTTCCTCCTTCAGGCACCTGATTAGTTTTTCTTCTTGTTCTTCCCCTTCCACAGGACTCATATGCAGGATCTGAAGGACGTCACCAACAATGTCCACTATGAGAATTACCGCAGTAAGAAACTTGCCGCCGTCACCTGTAACGGAGTAGACAACTCCAAGACCAAGGGACAGCTCACCAAGTACGCCTCAGTCACTAAACTACTGCTCCTCTCATTCTAATGAAAGGGAACACGTTACTTTAGATGTGGAACAAACTGCTTTCCTTTAGTTAAGTTCTATAACAAGTGAATATAACAAATTCCAACTAACCTCCGCCTTTGCTGTGGTCCACAGGAGTCCCCTGGCCCAGATGGAGGAGGAGCGCAGGGAGCACGTGATGAAAATGAAGAAGATGGAGGCAGAAATGGAACAGGTCTTTGAGATGAAGGTCAAAGAGAAGAAGCAGAAACTGAAGGACTCGGAGGCCGAGGTGGGTTTGAGGATCTCCGTGTGTTTGAGCGAGAGAAAGATGAAAAGTGTTGGAAATAAATTGCATTTATGTTTTTTCATGGCCACCATTCATGGTGTTGGTCCAACATGAATGCCATTAATTAACCTCTAAAAGTCGACTCAGCTGTGGTTTTTCACAAGACTTCATTTGATTTATGTTCCATTCAAAGGTAGAGATGAACTTATTGTCTGATCTCTTTTTTTGCCGGTCACATTTACAAACATGTCTGTTTTACGTCGTGCACACAGCGGCATAGAAGGTAACGTCACAGCCACACACACACGCGCACACACACGTGTGTCGTTGTTGTGGAAGTTCTTCCGCGTGAGTGACGAAGAGCTCACAATTTGTAACATCTGTAAGTCCAAAATAAGCTGCGGAGAAAAATCTTTAAAGAATTTGAGACGCCTTTGAGATCCGTTTGAGTGAGAGAACCTCTAACTTGTTTTGTTATGAACATACAAAGAAAAATACAAAAACTGATTGTATATGCTGTCAATTATCATTTTTCGGCAGATGAGACTTTTTAAAAAAGAGGAAATTGGAATCGGCCGAGGAAATTGCATTTATATAAAAATCTTATAATCATAAGGAATTTCTAGTTTTACTAATGTACTCTATAAATTCTTTATACCTTGGCCACTGACTCTTTTTTTATTCTGAATGGCTGTAGTCATTTTTAGTTACCTCGCAATATAACTAGACATCTACGATGCAGGTGTTTGTTTGCCATTCTAAATGAATGAACCAGTATTAAACTGTAGGTAAAGACAAAATCCAGTTAAGCTTGGAGCAATGGTTAATTAGGTCACCAATAGAAATGTGTGAAATGAGAATCTTTACCTTGAAAAAACGATTTAACAAAATAACCATCTTAACATTAGCAGTAATAGTAGTTTGTTCTGTTATGGCAAATAACCAAGACAACTGAACAATATCCATCCGCAGATGAAGACAATGTGGCTGAAAGCATCACAATACGCTAGTACTGTAAGTCGACCGAGAGTTGAATTCTATTTTGTCAGATTTCAGAAAACAAAAACATGATTTCACACTTTTATTTACATGAATCTGGATATATAAAATCATAAGATCAGAATTTTTCTCATACTGATCCCAATATCAGAAATGCCTGTGATACAGCCTAAACTGCTGAATCAGGTGTCGGGGAGCACGGGATTCTATTTATCAGCTCATTTATGCTACAAAGGAACTTTAATCACGTGTCTCTTGATACTGATCCGTACATCATGCCCGATCGCTACTGCATGTGTACCAACTAATGGTACACATCTGTCCTCATCTTGTGCACTCTATTTTTTCCCTGATAACGCTACGTTGTGAACAACAAATCAGTGTTGAAATCAGCAGGAGGAGAGCTCGTTAGCGCAAGCTGTTAGCAGCCGGCGGGCTGCACAGTCCTGCTCGGCTAAATAACGGAGCTGCATGGAGTTACATTATGATGCGTTCAAGCTTTATTTAGTAAAAAGGAGTACTGGGCAAAGATACATTTTGTAACATTATCATGATGTGTTCAGATGTAATCTTGTAAAATGTAGTTTTTGGTGAGAATCTTGAATAAATCCAGTTGTTTGAAGGAGATGTTTTCACAGGAGTATGGAATATATATTAGAGAAATAATTATGACCTATTTAACTTTTTTGTTTATAGCACACTGCTGTCAGATTGAAATCAGTATCAGGAAGGAAAAAGTGTTATTGTAAAAAATATGAGACACGGATAAAAGAGCTATCGTGTGTTTTTCCTGCGACAAGCTAACAAGATCAAAAACCAGTTGCATGAGTAGATGAACGAATAATGGTGAAAAGATACAACCTGAGCCCGTTTGACATTTTGACCCTCAGCTGGAGCGACGCCACGAGCAGATGAAGAGGAACTTGGAGGCGCAGTACAAAGAGCTGGAGGAGAAGAGACGAGTGTATGAGGACGAGAAGTCCAACTGGGAGGCTCAGCAGAGAATCCTGGAGCAGCAGAAACTGGACGCCTCCAAGTCAGTAACACTCCTACCTGTGAACAGCTGACTAATTAGCTGTTTTACTGGCAAAATGGTTCATTTGTCAAGTCTGCAGCATGTCTTCTGATTGACACATGTGGCAAAATGTCCTTTGACAATATTGTTGACATGATTTTTCTAAAATAAGACATTAACTCTGTTTCATTTTCGAAACGTTTTGTTACCTGTGTGCGACATGGAATCACATAATGTGCTATCTTCACCTCATATGGCAGAATTGTACGGCCCTTTGGCTGTCACCGACCGGGACGTCAATGGGAAATTAGGAATAAAACGTAAATAAGTGTACATCATGCACGTTCGTAAATGTGTGCGAGCAGCAGCGTCACTACAATGTGTTGGTGAACTGAGCTTACGGGAGATGTGAGTTAGTTGTTAACCCCTTAAAAAAAGAGAGATTGATACAGAGTGTTGAGTTTTTAACAAAACATGGACTTCTTAGTATTTATTTACTGTAGTCGAAGGTAAAGCCATCTGCTTAGTTTGTGGAGAACAGATCGTAATGTTTAATGATAACAATTTGTATCTCCATTACGAGACTAAACACGCAGAGAAATAGAAAAACTTGACTGATGCAAAGCGGCACGGACATCTGAGGCTTTGCCAGCTGAGCTGCTAAAGCAACAAGCTCAGAAGATGTTGGTTCTCTTTGGATCTACCTTCATATGTGAACAAACATTCTGGTGATGAATTTTAACAAATCCAGATCCTCTCTCACTGACGATCCAGCTCAGACATTCAACCTGACTTCAGTGCACTTGTTCCAGCCCAACACAGACTAGAGTTCTCTCACTGAACTGAAAAAAACAGAAAAGGACATTGGACTACAAACTATCGTAATAAAAGTACTAATTTTGCAGAAACATGATCCCTGTCGGTGTTTTACGATTATATATGGATATTACATATGTATATTTTTGGGGTCATTTTTCCTGCGGCAGATGTCTAGGGTGGAGCTCATTTTAAATGTAGTGGAGTAAAAAGTACAATATTTCCCTCTGAGATGTAGTGGAGTGGAAGTACAAAGTTGAATAAAATGGAAACACTCAAGTAAAGTACCTTGAATTTGTACATACGTACAGTACTTAAGCAAATATACTAGTTATATTCCACCACTGATCATAGTATTTACTCTTACTACTCACAGCTTATCCAAAGCCATACAATGTACTGCTTTTTATAAAGAGGTGGAATATTATGGAGCAGGATTGAGTTCAGTCTATTGGTCCGTCCCTCCACAACAGTCCCTGTTTCTCATGTAGCCCCTTGGGAAAAATAATTGCCCACCCCTGGTCAAGTAGTATAACTGTTAATATATCCAGGCTAACACACACACACACACACTCACTGTGGATGTGAAGTAATACTGTCTCAGATATTTATTGACCAAAAAAAGGTAAAAAAGTTACTGTGATGTATGATGGAGGTAAATGCAATTTCCTGTGTGCTTTTCAAAATGTTGAACATAACAGTTGAGTCCTGACTGTAAGCTAGTGTCATATGCATATATGTTTAGTAGAAAGTAGTTCCATTGAAGATTGACAGTTCGCCTTTTAGTTCAGATCCAGTTCATGTTCACACAGATTTATTTTTTTTACAAACGGACCACGAATGAATCTATAATTGTTCATAGATTACGTTGTAATCTAACCAATCTATCTAACTCTTCAAACATGTTGATTACATGTTTTGTATCATTTTAATACATATCTCGTGTTCTTCCACAAAACTAAGGACCCCTGTCCACACAGCGTATTTTTCTGGCGCTTTTTTTATGTTTCTATGACAACGATGTCCCAACAACATATCGCCGCTCTAACCACGGTTGTATGATAGACTAGCATCGCCCCTTTGCTTTGTATTATCCATCTGGTCTACTATATGGCATTGTTTTTCATCATAAGCACCAATTTGAGGATGCCATACCTGATATTTTGTATGAACCAGCTAGTCACCGCTCAATCTGAGGAGGACGATGCGTCGGAGACGATGTGTCCGTCCAGCTGACGGGCGTTTTGGACTTTCTTATGATAGTGTATGTAGACAGACAAGGTCAAAACAAGCTTCTTCTCCGTTTACTACAGTGACGTCACCAGCGCTTTTTTCTGAAAAGTTCACCAATTTTCAACTTGAAGCGCTCGGAGCGTCAGCACAACAACAGAACGAGTGCTCAGGAAAAAGACGCTGGGTGCAGCGATGGGCTACATCTAATTATTCCAAGGGGCATACATGTTCCGTTTTCGATCTTGTAAGAAGTCCTTAGGTGAAACCACTCGCTAATATGATCGCAAAAAATTGTATAAATCTGCATGTAAAATGAGAAAAGACTGCTTTTTATTTTTTGGGTGATTTTGGGACCGTTAAAGATGGCTCCAGTTTTTTTTCCCACGGTGCCTGTGAAGCCTGATAATACATTTTCCATTTTATTGTACACAATTGTAACATTCTCACTTCTCTCGTTTGTCACACAGGACGATGGAGAAGAACAAGAAGAAGGGGAAAATCTTTTGAAGAGCTGATCCCTCAGTTTTACACAAACTCAATATTTTTCTTCATCCCCCTCTGAAGTTCACATGTACTGTGGCCCTTCCGAAACATACACGCAAACTTATAGAACATTCGCATTCCTCCATGTTACATTTAACAAGCACCGCATTGTGACAGGGATGCCATTTCCACACATACACACACGCATGCAAATGCCCACAAACAGCCCACATGCTTGTCTCTCAGCAGGGTCGTACCGTATCCGTTGAAACCTTTTTCATTTTCAAGGGGAACGCATGTTTTAGTGAAATTCAATTTTCCTATATTTCCTGACAAAGAGGAGAAGCTGGAGTTCCTCTGAGCTACAGTACGGAGGTAACGCATGGCAGGGACCATGCATAGCCATTTGTACACATGTAGTCGTGTGTTCTCTAGATATATTCCATAGATCTGCAGGTAGGCGTACCATCCTCTCCACCACGCTCTTTCTTTTAATGTTCTCAAAAAGTGTGTACACGGTAAAACACTCATAAAATCATAAAGACTTCATAGAGAAGGGAGAGTGTATGTGAGTTTAGGTGACTGAATCAGGTGGCAGCAGAGGAGGGAGAAGTCGAGTGGGATTAAGGCCTGGGCACGGCAAGATCACTGTAAAGCTAACCGCCAACATGCTAGCGCTATTTAGTACTTCTATTTTCTCAGCACTGGGCCTTTTACTCCCCAGAACTTATTGTCCTGTTAGCAAACTTAATGTTCTATTGTTTTTTTAAATGTATATGTACTGTTAATTCCTCTCTCATAAGTGTCTACAAACCATTCCTCTTTTGAGGAACACTCTGACAGTGGAGGTTAATTAAAAACGGACGGTGCAACACAACTAATAATAATCCTCTATTTTGGACTTCTCTTTTCCCTCAAAGGTCAGCTTGTTAATGGTCGACAGTACAAATTCACTCTTTTAAAATTCACCAAACTTGATGTAAAAAATATTCCCTTGTAAACCATTTACCTTGTCAAAATGTTGCCGTTTTAGATTATTGCCGTTTAAAATGTTGCCGTGACCGGGCCTTTGGGCAGGATTTACAGTGGTGCGTGTACGAGCAGGTGTGCTTTCTTAAAGGGCCAGTGTGTAGCAGTCCGGTGGATCTATCGGCAGAAACCTGAACTAAGGTTCTATCGTTTTTTGTTAGCTCAGAATGAGCCCTTCATATCTACATAGGGAGCAGATCCTCTTTACGGAGTCCGCCATGTTGCTACAGTAGCCCAGAACGGACGAACCAAACACTGGCTCTAGAGAGAGCCTTTTATGTTTTTACGTTAAAAGCCACATAGTTCTGTGATGTGCTTGAAACTGAGGTAACATGAGCCGCAGAATCAAAACCGAGGTGCTACCTGTTGCCATCTGACTTACATTGCTCTTTAAGTAGTTTTATTATGGTGTGGATCACCTCCGAGCGAGGCAAACGGTGTTCACTCAGCGGCTCACGTTACTACAATCTTGGAAAGGGAGGGGAGAGTGGAGGGGTATTCAGTTGATTGCAATCTGCAACCACACCCCTAGATATCACCAAATCCTACACACTGTCCCTTTAAATGCTGTGTTTGAGGTCTGAAATGCTGACTGATCTGAGGGAGATTTGAACTGTGTGCAACAGCAGCCAGAACATTGTCATTGTGTGTGTGTGTGTGTGTGTGTGTGTGTGTGTGTGTGTGTGTGTGT